ATTACATTGTATTTACTGTATTATTTGAGTGTGTTTGTAATTTAATACAGGGACGGATCTACCGTGGGGGTGCTCACCCAACCTAGTGGTGTCTGGCATGCCCCTGGAGAAGTCCAGCGCCATCCTAAAAAATCATCTGCCTGACCATACATTTTCTGCTTTTCGAATATAGCAATTAGCGGGACTTCTACTGTTAATTAACACGTATCGATTTCTTGAAATGATTTAATTGATTTGTGAGCTCACGAGAAAATACTCAGAATGCTTTAGTTAAATATCATGGTTAAATGTGTAAACATATCGAGGTTGTTATGCAGCCATATTTTCAAATATACTGTATTTTAACAAGTAGATTTATTGTACTGTGCTACAGCAACTGTCCAGTCACGCACACGTGATACAAAGCAGATATAGACTTTGTAAACAAAATATAATGTAAAACGCAACAGAATGGCGAACATGCAGATTCGGCCATCTCAAAAAAGTTGCAGACTACAGAGGAGAGTGGTCAGTAATGCTCCCTCATGCTCCACGCCATTGAAAACCTGCACTTCTCCTTGCAGATGAGGCTAGATATGCCCTTGATTTAATAGTGATAACAACAGCGTGATGCCATACTGTATATGCTTATTTTATTTTTTTTGTGTAAATAAGCTGCATGTTTGGAGGGAATCCACACTGTGGTTTTATAACCCGCGTAGTTTTTGTGGTGAATTTATTAAATTCGGATTTTCCATATCGGGAAAGTATGCAGCAAGGCCTTTCACAGTCTGTACAATATTTGACAAATATACGGAAATTTCTTTCAGAGGAAACAACCAACACCTTGATACAGTACATGCATTTGTAACATCGTATGCATGTTGTTTATCCCATCAAACCTCATGAAAAATATAATCTAGTCCCAGACTCTGGCGCGTGCAAATTCAATATAGCGGCCAATGTGAAATTTTAAGATTTTAATATCCCTATGATTTAGCTACTAGTGAAACAGTGAAACGATAAAATGAACTGATTAGAGCGAAAGAGTCATCTGCGAATGAGTCTAGCGTAATATCTTTATTTTAGTTGCCGTAGAATGTTTCTTAAGCGGTCCTCCTCCCCGACCATTAGGGATTACAGTTTAATTATACGCAGCCGTACAGTATATGACATGTTCATGCAGGAAAGTTTGTGATCAAACGTCGATAGTTGATGAGAGTTGGCAGTCACGCATTATTACAGATGGCATTTCAAGCTCTAGATTAACAAAATAAAGGTTTGATAAGTGTTCCAACTATGTTTTAACTAAGAACAGCTAAGCAATGTCGCGTGACTGCAAACTCTCATGCACTCTCATCCTCGCTTGATCACAGCTTTGTATTGTCATGTTACAAAGCAAATTGTCTGAAATTAGTCCATTTCTAGTAATCTTCGTAACGTCAGCGACATATTTTCACATTAAGGCGAGAAGTAAGCTGCAACTTCGTTAACAATAATCGATTGCGAATGCACTCGCAAGCCGCAAGTTTAAATCGACCAAATGGTCATAACAAAAGTTCGCTATTTACTCACTAAAATATCACAGCTAGTAATAAACCCACCTTTTAAGGTTCCTCTACATATTTCTTCTTTTCTTGGTGAAAAAATGGCAATGACAGAGTACTGAAGAGTTGAACGTTGAGATTTTGTTAATAACACATTTCACACAGCAAACACGGAAGGAGCGACCTTTTCTTCCCGGAAATTTGATCCTGTGTTCATGACATCACAGTTCCGTAATGAAGTATATATATTATTTTGCAATACCATATTAAGATGTGTAGTTGTGAGGGTTTGTGATACACCACTGTCGCTCATACTTTTTGTGTGTGTTGGTGTTATGTACTCAGGTGAATATGATGTTTGTGATGTTACTCTGAGTGTATCCACACCAACACGCATAAAAAGTATCATGTCTTCAGTTCCGAAACATCGCCAACTCGAACTGACTTGACCTCGTATAGCTCAGTTGGTCTAGCATTGGACTAGTATCCCAAAGGTCACGGGTTCGATTCCCACCATGGTCAGGCAACGTCACAAACATCACTGTCGTTTATGTTGTACTATAAAAGCAGGCCATAAAAATGTATCAGAACTGGGTGGAAAATGCTTCATCATATGTTTATGATTATATGAAAGCCAGTGATGGAACCCAATTAGCGAAACAGCCCAGCAAGTATGCGGGATGAATTTCTCTTGTGTATATATCATTGGTCTATATGAGAAAATTTCATTCCACTTCCCGGGACGACTTTGTATTGACATTGGTTTGACAGTTTTTAAAATAGCTAGCCATAGAAGTTATGTATATAAAGCATTACATCAGGCTTTAAAATATCGGTCGGTCACGGACATTGTCCGACCCATTCATGAAATTGTCCGACGTAGAAAGGAAACCACCGGACATTCTGTCCGACCAAGGTGAAACTGAGGTTTATTGTTTGTCCGACCCGAGTGTATTGGTGTCCGACCGAACTGTAGCTTTGTCCGACGTAAATCAAAATGTACCCTAGCCCAGGACTAGAGGCTTGTATGTTAAATGGAAAATCAGAGTACTATTGTATAAAAGGTGAACTGGAAATGTTGTTTTAATTAACGTAGTCGAGCGTGGGGCGGCGAGCGAAATGGTGAAGTGGAAAACGGGCTTAAGTTGTCGAAGTATTTTTTTAATACTGCTGTTCTGGAAAGCGAGTTAATTTTGGCTTGGAAATAAGTATGAAAGGAACAAATTATTTAATATCTTTACAACATTTACCATTTATTCATTTGTGTCATTCAGACTTATTTCCGAGTCAAAACTGAACTGAATTCGAAGGTCATCGGACATATGTCCGACCCAAATTCAACGTCACTGGACATTTTGTCAGACGGCCCTGTAAAAGATATTTTAAGGCCTGTTACATATGAAATATATAGCTCAGTTGTCCAATTCCAGTCTTTTTCTAACATACAGTATCGCTAATTAAGTTATCAGTTTATAAAACTACAGTATTATTCTTTAAATCGAAGTCAAAATGCGAAATTTTGTCACACTTCTTGCAGACCGCGCAGACAAAAACAATAGAAAGGGACTGAACTTAATGTCCAATAACTCCATCTTGGGCTTCATATCTGTGGAGCTCAGTTGTATAGTGTTACCCTCAAATAAAGAATACTGGACTATTTATGAAGACGTAAAACCGAGTGGGGACATCAGGAAGAGGGGCACAAAGCCCCCATAGACAATTTGTGTTGTCCGACACTACTGGTTTTTCAATCGATTTTTCTGCAAAAACAGTTAGCCAAACATCGTTTACATCGCGTCTTTATCAGTTATGAGATGAAATGAGATATTTACCGTACCTGTATTGAACAAATTTATTACGTCCATCTACTGGTATACGGTAACATTCATGCACGCAACATGGGCCATCGGCACCGAAATTCTCCCGCGATTTCTTGCAACTAATTCGCTGGCGATCCCCTCGTTGATTGCGATTAAAAAATAGGCTTTGATGTGGCCATCAACGTGAGAGTCAAGAGTGACGGGGGTGAGGGGGGAGGGGCGTGTCCCGGGGCCCTTGGTTGGCTCTCGCCAGCCTTGACTTAATTGTATCACTACACTGTAAATTTCAAGAAGATGAATCAACTGCAAGTCGAGTTCATGGCTAGTTTTCTTCGGAACACGATGTGTTTCCTTTCTTTGAGCATGTCCCTGTCAATTATACTTGATCGGTTTTAATCATGATTCGAGTCCCACACGTTTAGCCACATCAATGGCGGAAAGCCAGACGAATCTTTTACTTCCCAATCAGGACTTTTAAAATTGATTGTATGTTTTTATATTTGTAACGTGCCGAGGACAATGCAAAACAAGTGCGCGGAGTAAAAGCCAGAGTGGCGAACCATTCAATGAACTAGTAAAGCACAATCTTATATAATACAACATTGCGTGGGAGCCTTGGCCTCTCCCAAGAAAGGAACTACGTCACAAATCGCATAGCTTCGGTCGCCTAATCCTATTACTGTAATTTCGATTTACTTCAATGCTATTACTTGCCATAACACAACGAAAACAATTCACGAAAATATTTAATAAAAAATCTTCAAAATGTTAGGTTTTTCCCGATTTCGGCCATTCCCCGGCCATTCCCTGGCATTCCTCGGTCATTCCCCAGTCATTCAACCGCCATTCCCTTCCCCGTTCCCTTCCCCCGTTCCCCGTTTTAAAGATAGCCTTTTTATGTCTTATATATGAGACGAAATATTTTCCGTTTTAATGTTTTCAGCCGGAAACATCTTAATTTCAAAGTGACGTGGAAATATGTCGCATTTAGGACGCATTTTATATTCGCTTAGCATGGTTGCCATATGCATTGGTTGATATAGATTCTATAAATACTCGGAACAAGGAGCATAAAAAAGCAACCACTGTAAAAAACTCAAAACACTGTAATATATAATTGTTATTGTTAACTACCCTATTGACAATAGATAACATAATCCGCCTCGTGTTTAAGCTATTGTTTTGCACTCAAGCAAATTCGGAAAGTGTCTATTGGCTGAAACAAAGAACATCAAATAACGCCGTAGTTGCTTTGACACTAGTCCCCTGCACAGATATTCCGCCTGTCTTCGCGGAATGCCTCACACCAAAAGAGTGGGGCATTCCACGTGACAGCTCAACACGTGACAGCCCACGTACGGTTCAACATAAACTCCCAGCTCAGTATAACCGCTTTGAAGTTTACTGAGTTTCTAGACCATGTCTCGAAAGACTATGGTTTAGAATAGTCTGGCTGAACATATTTTTTAGCCGGATTGTGTCAGGTGCATTGACAAATACAATTGCTTGATAAAAATCGATCACTATTTTTAACATGCTGATGAAAAGAACTAAAAGAAAATATACGGTACACTTATATTTAATTAATTTGCATGCTTTTCCCTTTTAGTTCAATTGGAAGGGTGAAGTGATAGATGAAAATGACAGAGAGTACATGTGGATGGATTCGTACCTATGTCCCAGTGCACACGAAGATCTTTACGTCAATACCGATTTCAGGGTGGATATCAGTCATCCCACATCGCGATTCAATTGGAATAATTTTTTAGATACAGCATTGCCTGTGTTCAACGTCAACTTCTACCAATCTGTGATGATGATCGCTGGAGCAATTGCTTGTTTCCACTACCCTTACGCCATTGCCATTGCTGGTAAGTTCTATCAAATAACACTGTACATGAGTTGTGACGATAGACCTTCCCATAACTTGTGAATTTGGTGGTGTCTACATAAGACTCCCATTTCATTTTGCCAATTATTCTTCTTTTTGTAGATGCATGCCCGGCTCCAATGGCTATAGGCGCCCCTAGTTCTGGGAAGTCCACGACAATCGACGTGATAGCCACGATGCTGGGATGTAATGTAGAGTCACAAGCTACATGCGAAGTGATTCAAAGTCTGCTCAACAAAACAACAGTGCCATTATGCTGGGATCACCCCACGTACCCGTCAAGTGTAAAAAAACTACTGACTGGGACATTTGACTCGAAGGGTAAACGCACGAAAGGGAGAGGAAAGGAAATTCCATCCACAAATGTTGTGTTGGCGGTCAACTTTGAGTTGCATGATGATGTCAGGTACCTACATACACTTTTAATAACGATGTTAGGGTTTGTAATCCAAGTGAGAATATATACATTTTAAGACCTAACCAGGAACGACTGCGAAAAATGCAGCACAAGGTTCTCTTATAGGAATTGAACCTACGGCCCATCCTAATATTAATTCCACCAAGTGAAGTGCAAGAATCTAAGTCATTCAAGTCCACTTTTAATAACGCCGTGCACGGCCACTGTAACTCAAGCACAAATTTAGTGATTTGAATTGGTGTTTAGCATGAATTTGAAAATAGACCAACGCAGGCAGTGATAGGTATATTAGAAGTAGAAGGACGTTCGTCTCTGAGCACAGTCAGCAATGTAATAATGAGTTAGGTAGATGAAGATTTAATTTTTTGGGTTTTTTTTTCAGATCTTTCGAGAGAATTGTACCAATCGTGTACAATGCACCTCCCGCTCCCAAGGATCCTGCGGATTACAGGAAAGCGACCGATCGCTTAGAAGAAGAGGCGAATACGGGATGTATTCCCTGGATAATAAAGTTGGGAGAAAAACTCGCCAACAATAACAACTTGGTGGATCAACAGACAGCCTATTTCAGGCAAAAAGATCCTAGTCTTCCTCCCCGCATACACAAGTTATATGGACTCTACAAGGCTATGTTCATGAGGTGAATAACGTTTCGGACAATACAAATCAAGCACTTCCATTAGAATACTGAGAAAAGGATTGCATAAAATTACAATCAGTTACATTGCAATAATATATTTTCATAAATCAAATCATCATAAATCAAATCATAAATAAATTAAACTATAAACAAACAAACAATAGGGCCATTTATACGGGACAAAATAAGTCGTGACTTACATAAGACGCGTCTTATATAAGCGGAGTTATCGCATAAATGGTTCCCTACGGCTTTATTCTTATTTACTTGCTATAGTTATACTGTTGTTTCAGTTGTTTTTGTTTTAATATGCAAAGCTAATAAAGTTAAAGCTAAATAAGTTAGATTTTTGTCCAAAATTCTTACTTAAGACGCGACTTAAATAAGAACAGCTAAAAGTCCTGTTCTTATATAAGACGCGTCTTATACATTCATTTTGTTCCGTATAAATGGCCCTAATATCATTTTCAACAGGAATGCCAATTTCGTTTTTGTGTCATTTTAGATTATTGACGACTACAACATTGGGGACTTAGGAACTGCAGCACCTTCGATATCTTTAAAATGTTTTGAAGAATACATTGAGCAGACATTCCTGCTCTATGTGCGAAAAGTCATCCCGCCAAGTTCAGCAGTAAACACCCAGGAAAAGTTGCACGAGGTCACCGAGTTCTTTGAATGCCTGCAGGAAATTCTGCAGAACACAACTGGTCCGGATGAAGTAGTACATACTATACACTGACGAGTTTTTACGCTGATGCCCTGTGATTTCGTTCACTTGCCCTTGTTGCAAATTAAGAGTGCTTAGTTTTGGAGAAGTGTAGACGATTATTTTTAATGGATACCAAACTGGACTGATATTAAACTCGGACGCCATCTTTGAAACCAGTATACTTTATATAGTCCAATGCTATATACACACCAAGTAATTTCCTCATAATTTCTTTTACAGGATTTGCAAAAATGCATTCGTCCTTGTGTTCAAACTGCTACAAAGGAGGACGAATATGCACTTCACTTGATCTTACCAGAGGTGTTGGAAATCATCAAGAAAAGAACTGATAAACACACTTCCTTCAACTTAACCAAATTAAGAAGATCAATCTCTGGCTATAGCGATGGGACATCCGTTGACCACTCTGGAGTGTTTGGAGGGGCACAACGCCGCTGTATCAAAATCCCCAGAAGTATCGTGGACAAGGATTTGCTTGATCTGATTGACAAAGGTATCAAAATAGAAAAAGTTCATAAAATGTTCCCAGGAAATTTACATGGAACATTCAATTATATCATGATAACCTTGATTTACTTGACTGAACTGGTGGTTCATTTAGTATTTGATAACTAGAGCGAATGTTTCTTGCAATTTGCAAATAGTTTTAAATTAGAATATTGTCATATATTAACCTGGACTAATGCAGTATAATGAGGTAAAATAAAGAACACAACGAAAGATCAATGTGCAATTTTAAAATCATTACGTATTTTAAGATTTTGTATTCTTCATACGTAGCTTGTGGTAGAGATGACGATGGAAATACTCAGAATGACATCGAACATGGAAATGAAGGTGACAACGGAAAAAATATCAACGAGAATTACAACCAACAAATTAATGACATGAAGAAAACGTTGGACGCTTCAGAAGAACACAACGTTTCGTTGATAAGTGACAAAAAGAAGCTTGAAAGGGATCTGTCGAGAGAGAAAATCAAGTTCACGCAAGCTGAAGAGAAGATCGGGAATCTGGAAAGAGAATTGGCAGAGAAAAAAAGGCGTTGGGAAGCCGAAGAAAAAGAGCTCTACGAGACAATCACCAAACTGCGTGCTGCAATAAAGCAGAAACCAGACACATCTTGCCAAAGTATTGCAGCAACCTCATTTGCTAATGTTGTTTCAAGCGAAGGTGATTACTCGATACAACTCATTACCATTTTGCACTTTCAAATAAAATATTATTTAAATTCTCGCAGCATGTTTCGCATATACAGCCATGCTTTATTATTCAGTCAAGACACAGCACATTTGCTGATTGTGCTGTTTTACTGATGGGTTTTCCATAGAATGTCAAAAAGAATTATGAATCGGAGACAACTAATTTAATTTGGTTATATGACATGTAGTAATTACTTGACTAATCTCCCTTTGTGTAGATACACACCAGTTAGTATCATTCATGGATGAAAAACGTTCGCTTGATGGTAAGTGTGAAATAGGAGGGTATTGTTTTTAAATGATTGCTGAATTTCCTATTACTGTCCTATACGCCATTACCCTGGTTCCAGAGGTTAAAACAAAGAGGTTAAAATAAACCTCTGGTTGAAAGCGGCAATTGATTCATCAAGCCGCGCCAATCAGTTTGAATTAGGGTCAGATCCGGACTCTGTCTCCTGATTGGATGATTGTATTAAAGCTCTCTGATTGGTTATAAATGTTTTATTTGAATCAATCAGAGAGCTTTGATACAATCATCCAATCAGGATACAGAGTCAGGATCTGACCCTAATTCAAACTGATTGGCGCGGCTCGATGAATCAATTGCCAGAGGTTTATTTTTCCTCTCCCCTTCTCAATGAAAATAATAAAAATAAACTTCTGGAACCAGGGTAACACGTCATACGATATAATAATTCAACAAAGCTGTAACACCAATTTTAAGTGGTATATTAATTTTAAAGAAAGATATTTTTCGCTATACAGGGTGTATTAAAAAAAAAAACTGAACAGAAATGAAATTGCTCTCAATTTCGCAAAACACCTATTAGTATCCAGTTTTTGAAGTATATAGGTTCTTTGGGTACTTGTAATGTAGAATGAAAAAAATTTCTCGAACTCAAATTTTGTGAACCAGGGGGGGAAGTCTTTTCCAACAGACTGAAAATGGCTTGCGTGCGAAATTTAAGGCTTTAATCATATTTTGAGTTAATAGATGGAAAATTTGTTGGGTTTTTAATTGCTGTACAAAATTTCAGACAATTTGCTTTAGTTTAAGCCCTTTAGCTATTCATTTTTTTCCTTAAAAATCAGCCTTTCGCATACTTAATGCCTTAACCTATTTTGCATATTGCTGACTTATGCAAATTGGGCAAAGGCATTAAGCATGCAAGTAGCTGATTTTTCAGAAAAAAATGCAAGTTTGCATGAATAGTTTTAAAAAGGGCTTAAACTTAACTAAAGAGATTTGTCTGAAATTTTGTACAACAATTAAAAACCCAACAAATGTTTCAGCTATTAACTCAAAATATATTTAAAGCTTTTAAATTCCGTGCGCAAGCCATTTTCAGTTTGTTGGAAAATACACCCCCGTTCACAAAATTTGAGTTAGAGAATTTTGTTTCATTATTCTACATTATAAGTACCCAAAGAAACTATATACGTCAAAAATTGGATACTAATAGCTGTTTTGCGAAATTGAGAGCAAATTCATATCTGCTCAGTTTTTTTATACACCTTGTAGTTAGATTATCTGTAATGTTATGCTAATCTTCAGGATGTTGAAACGTTGATTCAATAAATAAAATGTTATTCGATAACGTCCTTTTGTATTTTATCTCAATGCTGAGTGGTTTCCGTAATTATTCTTTTTATAGACAGTGGAATTTCTTTGGAAGCAAATGAAGAAGTTGCCACAACGCCAGCGATTTCTTTTGCTGCACAGAGAAGTACTGCAAATTTCATTAATGTACAATACATTACGCACAATAAACCTGTCCGGTAATTACATGTTTTCAACTTAGGACAACCATAAATGAAATGGATTTCAAGTTTTTTTCTCACTGGCTATGCGCAAAGAAGCAGAACATCCTTCATCAACACATGCATGAAAAAGATTGTTTTATTTTGAGCAATAAATGTGAGACTAAGCTTTAACACGAAAACGAGGCCTCGTTTTCATATTAAAGCTTATTCCCGAATTTATTGGTCAAAATAGTAATTGTTTATCACGCATGTGTTAAAGGATGTTCTGCTTCTTTGCGCATAGCCAGTGAGAAAAAAACTTGAAATCCATTCCAATTAAGTGTGACTTAAGGTGAAAACAATGTAGTTGTGACGTAATTACCGGAAAGGATTATTAATGATGGGTAAATTAATGTACATGGTCTGCTAAACCCCATTGTTAAAGGCTTACTATCGTTCTTGAAATTTAAAAATACTTCTTGTTTACTATGCACATTTGTCCAATACGTGTCAAGAATAAATGCGATTGAGGTAAACCTTAAATAATGTAAGACTATATGTTTAAGTAAAAATTCTGCAGTTTATTCTATTTACATGCCTAAAATAACTATTTACAATTGGATCAATTAAATAAAACTGCAATAAAAAAAACATTGTCTACGATGTACCAACAGAAGAGCGATGAATTTGAGATATGTAAATACGAACAGCCTTCTTGCTAATTTCGTCACATGTCTAATTGTTAAATAGGAGACTGCAATTGATATAAATTAATGTACTAGTGTACATCTTATAAATTTTGTGTGCTCTTTCCTTAGAGAAACGGAGATTAAATGAGCTTCAAAAGTTAAAGGATGGTTTGAACAAAGATCTAATGGCAGTTGAAGGTAAATCCATTTGAAGTTTCTAGCATGACCTTTACAGTCCACAAGCGTACCATGTACGCCTCATAGTCTCATAAGGAATTTGGGAGGGCAAATGCAACAAAGTTTTACATTTAGCCGTCATTTAAGGTGGCTCCCTACAGTTTCTTGAAATGTGGAAACTTTATGATTTGGATGAATAAATTTTCAATATTGTCGCTCGTTTTGAACCGCAATTGGTGTTTTTCGAGTAAAATACACGTATAAAACCAAAGTATCAGCCATATTGAAACGTCACTGTTGCCATAGCAACGAAAGTAACATCACTTTTACGAGGCGAGTCATGCCCAACTCTAACAATATTGTTTTACATGAATCACGCAATTGCGGTTCAAAACGAGCAACAATAATGAAAATTTATTTATCCAAATCATAAAGTTTCTGCATTTCAAGAAACTGTAGGGAGCCACACCTCAAGAGCCAGATGTTTGGCATTATAATATTCTGTTGGAGTAAGCCTTATAGACCCATTGCACTTGACGTCACAGCGCCGGTGACGATGCATCTGGAGGACAAATTAGCAATCTATGCATAATATAACTTTTGTAAACAAATCAAATTTTATAAAACTTTATAATAATTTTGTATTAAAATGGTTAATTTTTTCGCTGTATGTGGTTGTTGTACACGAACAGATATTGTTAGGGAGCATCTGGAGGACACTTTAAGAATTTGTGACGTCAGTGCAAAGGGTCTATACTGTTGCAGTAAGCCTTATACTCAGTTTCTGATTAAATGCTGCTCAGGACGTAACCTTTTCTAAAGAAAACCATCAAACGCTAATAAGTTGCCTACTGCTTTCTCTTTTAGGAACAAGATCAGAGCATCGAAATTTGAAATCTTCAGTGGAAAATAGCGTTAACACATCCTAGTTCACCGCTGGACTGCCTGGACACACTGTATATTTCACGCAATAGGTTGCACTCACTATGGCAGTAAATTACGTTAATGGTACAGTACTACATACATGTGTAGTATATATTATCTACATGTGTATATATAATTAAGGTGGTATTGTTTTTCTTGGCAACGTACATACAGGTTGCTTCCCAACTTTGTAGCAGAATTCTGTATATGCATCTCCTTTTTTCACCATTCTATGGAAGAAAAACTTATGATGGATATATGGCATTGATACCATAATTCTCTTCAATCGACTTGCCCAAACATTTACTTGTTCTGCAGCCATTGTGTTGACGCTCTTCGACAGAGAACTATCAGGGTTATACATTATCTTGCATTTTGGATCCTTATGGTTCTGCAAATGAAGGCGATCAATAACCTTGCCAACTTTCTGCCACATTTTGTTGAATGGCACAGGAAGAGGCAAATCCTTTCGAGAAATGCGGAGAGCGTCCAAATGACACATGTTATCATAAGCTAAGACAGTCTCCTCCATTGCTTGAAGCAACTCTTCGTCGCTTTTGCCACTTGCTTTCAATGCCATAAACTTGTTATATAGCCACACAACGGTAATCATAAACGCCTGGGTTGGAGATTCAGACCTAGAATATAAAATTGAAAATACATATACAGTATTATTTTACATACTGTACAATGTAATATTATTATATCCAGTAACACACACGTTTGGTATAAATGTATCTACTAGCACACACTTATAAGTATAGTATGGCAATTAAATGGAAACAAAATAACACATTTGAATGTAATACAAGAAATAGTTGTTACTGTTCTTGGTGATCCTATTATAGTCTTCATATTATTAAAATTTTAACTTGTTCTATTATGTGACAATGTGCTTAAGATCAGGGCATTCAGGAGTACAGTAATACTCACTTATAGAGAGGTTGCCAGTATTCAATGTGACCACCACCTGAAGCAATTATATAAATTCCCCTAGACCATTTCTGGAGGCGAATTTTCCCAACCGTATCTTTGTTGCAAGACACCGCCGCGACTTCTTTGCAGTCTTCAATTATCTCAACATGCTTTGCCATAAAATTTCTGGTACCTGAAAAATGTACAATTGAATACAACTTGAACATTATTTTAAATAATGTAAGTAGAACATGAGTTTTGAAGGTAACAATGAACAGTACTCTAAGTTATTCCAAGCTTAAAACTCATTGTTTTCATTGTAGTGTTCTATCCGAACCAACCGGTTGTCAAACAACATGCTTGCCATGTGTATGCATTTTATATCCTTGAAAAACACATAATAATATATTGTAAATCCAATTTCACGAGGCAGTAAATTTATTAATGTGCAAGTCACAGTTGAGGATGGCTAAATGCCTTCATAATACTGTACTGTCGTGATAATAACAAGTTACAAGTAGTCTACTTGACTGTAAATATTCATTTAAATGTCTACACAGAGTTATGGCACAACTGTACCTTGATACACTGCAGCATTGTCCTCAACTGTGTCAACGGTTTCAAATTCAATTTCTTCAAGTACAATAGCGGGATCTGAAACATTACAGGTTATAAATATGGTGAATTAAATAGTAATAACTAGAGAGCATTCAATGACCTTTACTGCACTTACTGTAAATGCCATGTTAAAGCGGTTACACTTAAATGTAAGTTTAAATGTATAACAAGAAAGATAAAATGTCAGTTTCAGATTTCTGAAAAATGTCACCAACAATAAACAAATATTTTACTGTAAATAAAAGATTATTATGGTAAATTACCAAACAATTAACAAATATACAGTTATATCAACACAAGTGGAAATTGTGTGAAAACACTTCGCCCTTTGGGCGTCGTGTTTCTACACAATTTCTCGTTTTCCCAATTTCCACGAGTGTCCAAGGAAAAGAGTTTTATATTTGTTTTATAATATAGCACAAAAACATATAAAGAAAGAAATTTTCCGACGTTTCTGTGTTGACTTTGAGTTATATCAACACAGTTTTTAGCCAATCGGCGTTCAGAATTTACAAATGCTATATTATAATTCCCTATAAAACATGGTCACAAACCCTGAGACCTATATTTTTTATCTAAAAAAATAACCCAATGTAGCCTTACATTTACCTTTATTTTTATTTCTGCAATACTGTAGAAACAGCTTTAATTCACCACACTGCAATGCTTGTCACAAAATGCTGACAGGTGTTCCGGATTCCTAGGACAAATCTTTGGGTAATTAACTTCCTTTTCATACCCAGCAATGATTACAGCTACAGGGAACATGCAATGTGCATAAGACAACTTCCAATTCCCATCAAGAACATATAACTTGCCACAACCTAAACAAACAACACATTTTATCACATCATTTTACATTGATTTGTCATTCAAATTAGTTTTTTACAATGCATACTGTATTTTAAAGTATTCGTCAACCTACCCTTTAGTACACAACTTCGATGGCATTCGTGATCATATGTTGTTGAGGTCCGTTTTCTTACCATATACTCAATAGCATTATCTTTCGTACCAGATAGCTCATTCTCATTACAATCTTTGGTAAATGACCACTTGTCACTTATATTGCTCTGTGAGAGCTCTTCATACAATTCACACTCCCAAAAAGCATTTGCCACAGTTTTCCGGTGAAGTTCACCAATGATATGTGCTAAAATAAAGGATATTACATGTACATACATGAACTTTATTTCAACTGGAATTTACATTGTAGCTTGTTTTATATTAATTAAGAGTTTATTTCTCCAAGTATGTCTCTGAGGATAATGAACAGTTATGCAAATGCAATGATCTACTCTCTAATTAATCTTACATGTTTGTAGTAACAATACAGTAACAGATTAGAATGTTCTGCACATGATGACATCCATTTTCAACAATAGCACAATAAATACTTTGGTTTGGTCCCGAAAGTCACACTCGCATATATACATATATACATATATACATATATACATACACATACACATACACATATATATATATATATATATAAGGGGTTTTTTCAGGGAATTTTTAGGACCGTAAAATGGTCCCAAAAACTCAATCCTGAATTGAATTTTGAAACTCAATCTTCTCATTAAAAGATTCTGTGCAGTAAAATGAAGTTGTTTGAGTTAAATTCATGACGTATGCAAATTAGTTATCAGTTGAAAACCCGAAAATTAAGTAAAAAATGGCTGGAAATCATTTCACAACACAAGAAAAACAACGCATTTGCTGTCTTTAACCAGTTTATAGTGTCCCTTAGTGCCCCTGCTTCAACACATTGCATCTCAACTACACTAAAGTAGGCACAGGTTTCAGCCTCCCGGGTAGGGGGGGGGGAGACAGCCGCCCCAGACCCCTAGTTGTTCAGCTAAACTCAATCTTGTCTGCAAAAACGGACCCAAGAGAAAATCCTGGAGAAAAAAACCCTTATATATATATATATATATATATATATATATATATATATATATATATATATATATATATATATATATATATATATATATATATATTCTATATATATATACCTTTTTCATCTTTTTGTTTTAATTCTGAGCAGGCATCGATATCTAAATGTATATGAATGAAATTATTAATCAAAACTATCTCATAATTTCCTACTTGTTTACTACTAAAGTATACCATAGTTTACTAGCATTGCTATTCTTCACAAAAAAATGACCTTGGCATGAATGCAATATATGCACCAAACTACATTTCTGACACTATGCTTTTCACTGCAAAGCCAAGGTCATGAATGAAATATGTATCTGATTCTGATGAATACTGTACCTTCTAAAAAACTTCTCCCTGACATTTCCTGACCTGGCTCTTCTGCCATGCCTTGACCTGGATCCTGATTCGAACCTTAAAGATACAAGACCAAATGATTATCCATATTACACATAATAGATCTTATCGACTAATCATGTTTCGCCCAATGCCCTGTTGGGTATTTACTCACATTTCATGTACACTAGGGTTAAAATTATAAGCTTGTGATTGAGTTTACGTGCAACAACTACAAATTCATGCAGAAATGGGGACATAACCTTTAAGTGCACTTGCCAAACTAAAAGAAGCAAACATGGAAACAAGGCCATTGGGTGAAAATGAATAATGGGTAAGGTCTATTTCGTATATTCTCATTATATGATTATAATAGTATTAATGGTAATGAGATTACCATATATTTTATAATAGTATATTTTAAATATTAACAGTTTTCCAAAGCTAAATACCACTGTTTAATTTACAATACTCTGTGTCAATTCATTAGATCTTATAATAGTTTTGTTTGTGGAAGCACCACATAAATTTATTATTGCAATAATAAATTTACGTGGTGTTTCCACAAACAAAACTATTATATATTTTATCGCCATGCAAAAATACAAAGAACTCGTTAGATCTTATTCACATTGATTGGGATAATTTGGCTGTTTGGGTATATCTGATTCATTCAACACAAGAACAAACCTTAGCTACTGTATGATCAACTTCCGAATACAAGCCCTGAGCTGATACAACTAGTTTGTAAGTGGTTTTTATGGGCTTATATGAGGGGCTTGTGTGTGGGAGAGGGGGCTTAGGCATGCACAATATTTTGTGTTGGTATCAAATATTAAAGTACCATATTAATCCTTTAAGTGGCAATGCACCCTGATACACCCTACTTTAGTATTTTACTCTGTCTAACACCAGGCGATTTTACTTGTCAAGTGGAGAGCGCTGCCACTCAATGGGTTAACTGTAAGTTATAAACACAAAAAATAACTGTTCAGATAAACAAATATTAACATACCAGGCTACAGTGGAATGGTAAATGTAGTGATCTTATGTTTGGGTGGACTTACTGTATGTTTGGGAGATGGCCTTATATTTAGAATGAATGATTGCGACCTGCCGATCTGCCGGCTGCTTGGTAAATGGTATACAAGCAAATCTTGGATCAAATGTCCAATGGTAAATGTAGTGGGCCCAAGGCTCGCTTGCATAGCATTAATTAAGCAAGCTTGCAAATCACATTCATTCCAAATATAAGGCCACCCCCCTCCCCCAAACATAAGCCCACCATATATACACAAATACATACATGCTGACACTGTATTATAAATGTTGTGTATGATTTATATATACAATATTTTACACCATACCATTTGAATAATTAGCAATTTCTTTCTTGAATGTCTCATTATACGATACAGAAAATCCTTGAAAGGATACAAAACAGTGGTTTCTAAAAGAATAGTGAAATTATTTTAGTTTTCATTCTGTATTTTCTGGCCAATAAAAGTGCTCTTTGAGTAGCCCAGACTGGAAAGCAGGGGGAGGCAAAGGGATCAACCCGCCCTGGATAAAAAGCAATGTAAACTGTGTCTGTGAGGGAAGGAGCCCCAAATTTGTCTGAATGGCCCTGACCAGGTGCAAGTGGCACAGTAATTGGCATTATGCTGTTGTGGGGACCTTCCCGGAAATTGTACTTTATGTATGGCAAATTATTGAATAAAGGAAAACTGCAAAAGTTAAAATATGTCAGGTAAAACATACATATTCTGGCTATATACAGTATCGGTATCCACTATCTACATACAAATCAGTTAATATCCACATCACTTACATTAGAGATGTTAGCCATACATACAGGGCCTTCTCAATATATGCCACATTTGTCACTTCAAGAACTGTATTGCGTGCCATGATATCCTCACTGTAATAACGTGATACCCCATCACCATCTGATCTCATTGCGTAGCCATATGATATCTTACAGCTCGAACAACGAAGAATAATTTTCGTGACAGCTTTTGGGCCATTTGTTGTGTATAATATACCATTGCTTGGTGGATTCGGAGCACATAAGCGACCGCCACATTCTAGACAATCGTCTACAGGCGGTGCAAGGAGACCAGAGACATTAAATTCTCCCGCTTTCGTGACAGCTTTGAGTGCATCGTCAAAGTCATTTGAATATGTTCCCGTGAATGGCATATTTGGCGCAAATTTCTCCAATGTGTCCACAATCTCTTCGACAACAACGTCTGTCAACGAACTTTCCGGGCACAAATACTTAACTATTCGAGAAATAATTGTGAAACGTGTGTTCTTGTATCGCGAAAAGACTTTCGGCACATGTCGAATTGAAAATAAAATCCACATGATCGTGTTAAAGCCAAACATCAGAGCAAGCATGCCTACGACGTCAAATTGTGCTTTCCCCTTAAAAACAGCAAGAGCCTCTCGTAGTTGTTTCAACTTGACACTGTTTTTGAAATTAACAACAGTATCAAGTTGTTGTTTCGCTTCCATAACCTCCTTCTCGATCGCATTTGCCGTGAAATCAATTCGCGCACGCTTTCGTTTAGACGCCATCTTGGCAAGGGCAAGCAAGAGCAAAGTTCCGCAGTATCGTACCCAGGCCATGCTGCGTGCGCTTTATACTATATTAATTTTAGGCACAAACCACTACGCTACTACGCGTAGCAGAGCCGTAGTCACAAAAACCTTGTTCATATTTTTCGCCACTTATGTATCTCCGGCGTGGAATTTACATGGAATGCACCCTGGGTGACCCCCAATTTTTTTTCGTGCATTATTTTACTTGGACGAAAAGCTAACAATTAGCAAAATATAAAAAATTTCTGTAATGCCATTTTTTTGGAAAATGCGAAAATGTCATATTCTTTGGTAACATTTTTTTGGCATTACAGAATTTTTTAATTTTTTGTATAATGAAGATTTTTAGCGGTGCAATACAGCATGCAAAATTTGAACATAGGTCACCAGACAAAATAAAGAGATATAGCGCATTGTTTTTCTAAAATGGAAAATTCTAATGACGTCAGCAATTGACATAAAACGCTATAGAACACGCGCAATGGCGTAAGATGGCGCGAGCAACTGCTCACGTCAGGTCATTTTGGAAGTTCTTTCATTTTGTTAATCAGTTTCCGCGACCTGCGCGTAAAAATGGTCAACCGGTTTTGAGTTCGCGATTCTTGAACAGGGTTTTTGTGATAACTATATCGAGCCACCTTAAGTGTCATGTTTCAGCTGAATGCAATCACATTCCTGACTAACTGCTAAAATATGTCAAACTTAACTATTATGAGCAAATTTCATCATAATTTCTCACAGGCCGTGCCATGGCCAATCGGACATCACTACTCCCAATGTTAGAAATTAGGGGCGGGTTTACTTGGGGGGGGGGGGGTTAAACCCCTCTAATAAAGTGTTCAACCCCACCAAAATCTGCTTCAACCCTCCTATTTTGTGTGAAAGGCCAACAACTCAAACACCTAATCCATGCCAAAGTCCACTGAGTGGTGAAATAAATAAAAATCCGCCCTTGTTAGACATGTTGTGGCATGCCGAATTTACCTCATGATTAGTGTATCAGTGACTCACTTACGTCCCGGCAGCTTGTGGGCAACATTTTTGTTCTTGCCATGTAACTATGACATCATATACTGTACATGTAAAACTATATAGTTTTATATAGTTCTGAACAGACAATTAATGGCAAAATGATATCTATTTTTAAGACTCTTCCCTTGATGAGTATTGAGTAAAACATCTGGATTTAATCTCACAGATTGAGTGAAATAAGAGAGTAGCCAGGATTCATTGCAGCTTAATGGGCTGACTATATATCTCAGGGGCTGCCCATTTGCAAATAGTGTAATTAACTCACTGCGTGGCAGCAGGGAGCAATCTCAATCCCCTTAAAATCGTTTGGCATTAGACAGAGTAAAATAATAAAGACAGTCTTTAGGGCTCATCAGGACAGGGCACATGCATTGTCACATGTAGGTGGCCATACTCTATGGCTCAACTCTCTCTGGTCTTGTGCTTATCTATATATACTAATTCTGCACTGTGGTGGGCAAGTATATAAATTTCACACCATATATATTCGTTTAAAATATATGAACCTCTGTATGAACATGTAAACAAGTAACAACCACAATTTTTAGTATAAATTAAAAACTGGCAAACCACAAAGGCCAGTGCTGACACAAAACAACATAATGTTAACAATATTTTATGTCCCCTATTGAAATATTTGCAGCATATATTATGATGAGTTTTTGACATAATATGAAGGTCTATAGTGACTCTAGCCGTCTAGAAAGTTATAAAAAAAAGTTTCGTGAATCTTACCTGAAAGAATTAATCTTTCTTTGTAGTGAAATGCTGCATCCACAAGCGAAGCAAACCCGCACCCTCGCTCCGCGTTGTAAAACAAGTAATGTTCGAGGGAAATATTAAGATTTTTGCTCAAAAACAACAGAAAATTTGATATATCTTATTGATATAATAATATATCTATGCAAAAACCAGGGGGGTAAAGGACATCTTCGAAAGCTTAGGATCGCGGTTGGTCAGTGGCAACTACCATGAAAATAAAGTAAGTGTTGTCATGGAAATGGCGTAATAGCCGCCATGTTTTCTTTCGGCTTCACTTGATGATGCCGAGCAGGTCCTCCAGTAATATAGTATAGCTCAGTGGAGTTAGCCTTCCAGTTATTATTAGAGTTCACTGGGTGGGACAGGATGTGTACTGCGCACAACAGCTGAGCACGACCACAATGCAACGCGCCAGAAAAATTTACTGTTAATATCTGTCGTCACCATACTTACTTGTGTGGATGGTTAGGTGCAGACGTGGTCAGCTAATGATCTCCGGATTTGAGTTACTTGGATTCAGGTCCGAATCACGTGGACCTGTCCATTCAGGACCTGACCACCGAACGTCTGCACCTTATCACACCGAACTTAGTTCGATGGAAATTAAATTGAAAATCAATTGTAGTCATAAAAAAAAAATTGCTTCTTCTCTGAGCAGATAACCATTGCAGTTGGTTACGAATTAGCTAATGACCTGAGAGTCTGCTTGGCACTCTCTATATCCGATATCCTGAGGGCACATGTCGTACCCAGACTGCGCGCGGTTCCTATGATAACCTCATAAAATCACTGAGCTGTATAATACTGGAGGACCTGTTCCTATATGTCAGTCAACGAAGGATACATTAATAAAGTTAGGATATTAGGGCCTGTTAGGGTTTGTAATCCAAGTGAGAATATATACATTTTTCGCAATCGTTCCTGGTTAGGTCTTAAAATGTATATATCCTCACTTGGATTACAAACCCTAACATCCTAATATTAATTCCACCAAGTGAAGTGCAAGAGTCTAAGTTATTCAAGTCCACCTATATTAATAAAGGCCGTTTTCCACTGGGCGGAATTCTCCGCGCGGAACGGAATTTCTCTTTGTCTTTTCTAATTAGTTCAACCCGAGAAATCACAAGACAAAGAAAAATTCTGCTGCGCGCGCAAAATTCTGCCTAGTGGGAAACGGCCTTTAGGAAAAGAAACAGTTAGTATTTTTTACTTTTAGGGTTAGGATTAGGGTTTGGATTATGGAAAGGGTTAGGATTAGGATTAAGATTAGGGTTAGGATTAGAGTAAGGGTTAGGGTTTGGATTAGGGTTAAGTTTAAAATACAAAATTACAAAAGTCTAAAAATACCAACTCTTCCTAAAACGTGACAGGTATATCAACACTGAGCTATATATCTCATATGTATATTTTGTCACACACATAAAAGAAATACATTCACATAGAGATATAACAATAACAATAACTAGAAAGTGCTGTGACAGGAGAAGAAAACAGAAACTAAATTCTATATGGTATTGGTTAAAGGTGACATTAATAAGGTTGTATTTGATTTTGTATAATAGTGAAAGGTCATAAAGTTCACGCCTGTGACCTGTGATCAAGTTGGAGAATGTTTAAGAATATTAGTCTGTCTCTGTAGGTAACATCACGAGGAGGGTAGTTCAGAATGAATTTCGTTGCTCTGCGTTGAACGTTCTCTATTAATTTACGTTGTTTAGCCGAGTAAGGTGACCACACACACGAAGTGTACTCAAGCTTTGGTAGCACAACAGCACGATAGAGAAGCTTCCGCATATTGGCATCCACAATGTCTCTAGCACACACCCGCTTAATTAGACCAAGGGTTTTATTGGCCTTGGTGCATATGTCTTCAATATGATTAGCCCAGGAGAGGTCTTTGGATACGATGACACCCAGGTCAGAGATGTGTGTCACACTTTCCAGGGGCTTGTCGTTCAGGTGGTATTGGAGTGAAGCAGAGGAGCAGACCTTTTTCCGAGACATGTGCATCACTTTGCACTTGGATGAGTTGAACGTCATGCCCCAGTAATGCATTACTCCAGTTATGAAGGCCTGAAAGGTCCGATTGCAACAGATGGTGAGATGCCGAGTAGGTGGGCCTATATAGTTTAAAGTCATCTGCAAATAATGCAATACTCGAGCCCTGTCCTACGTATTCTGGCATGTCGTTGATGTATACTAGGAACAGGAGGGGTCCTAGGATGGATCCCTGTGGGATTCCAGAGGTCACGGGGAACCAGTCTGAGAGGGTCCCATCTCAGGCAACGCGCTGATATCTGTCACTTTGGTAACTATGAAACCACTGAAGAAGCGAGCTTGATATGCCATGAAACATGTGATGTTGAACACGATCAAAGGCCTTGGACAGGTCTAGGTGGATGGCATAGTAGTTGAGTTACCGTAGATTTTATATAGGGACGTGGTGATACATGGGGATACTACTACGTGCTTATATACACAACGTTCAAATGTTTTTGAGATGATAGATAATAGGGAAATAGGTCTATAGTTAGAAGCGGGCATTGGATCGTCTTTTTGGACACAGGTGTAACGTTATATATATGACAGAGAGATGGTGCGATTATGTTTAGCCGTCATCTTAAGAAGTTTTCCAGGTATCCCATCAGGTCCGCGTGCTTTGTTTGAAGTTTGGACCAAACTGTCAAGAGCTATAAAGACGGCTTTGTTTTCTGAATATCAATTGAAATTAGAAATTCCACCTCACTAAAAATATTCAAAAATAAACTGTAGATAGCTGTAATTTCTCATTTTCTTGTAAATATTGTAAATAATTCAAGAAGATAATCTCGGAGTTTGGATGACAGGCCTCCGTGCTTAAATAAAGTTCACTCACTCAAGTCACAAATCGTTTCGCTCGAGCCCAAGTCAATAAGTCATAAAAATTGCGACTCGAGACTCAACGCCGATTTCCAAACGAAAAAATTTGAGTCACATGACTACACTTGTAATTTGATGCAAAACAACTCAGATACGTAATGGAAATTATATAAAATATGAAAGCTAGCGGCATGTAGCTTGGAAAATTAACCACCTTTACTAATATGTGTTCTAGCCGAGGTTCTAACCGTGGTAGCGTATTACGTTTATATGAATCTAGCTGTCCACCTCGCCACGAGAAACCAATCTCTGGTAAGTAAAATTATTTAAAATTCCAAATAGTTGTAAGATGCGTAAAGGGGAATTTTCGCTTTCCCCAAGCCCGATCATGATGATGGTCAAGTTGCATTTGTCAGAGTGAGAAAATAGCGTAGAAGGCTTGTATCTGGTTGTAAATTTATGTAATTCTGAGTGTTAACATTACTGAAATTGATCATCATTTTCTAAAACCTATTACCCATTGTTTTGTCAATTCAATATTGATAGTAATTGACTACGACACGAACTTATACTTTCGCGTAGTTAAATCGTAGTTAATTTTACCATAATTCATAAATCTTTTCAAAATGAATTCAATTCATTGCCAATGGCAATACGCAATAATTCGTTGGGTAATACACAACATTCTTTTACAAATATTGAATCTTGTATGAAACTTAAGTATCGCTTTATCTATTTGACGGCTCGATGCACTTATTAAACTGCCTCAGTCGAACTAACTCGATATCACACTAGATACAAGAGGCACAATCAGTAAATTCTATCAGACTATAAAATAGAAGATAACTGAGGATCTTCGCGTATCATGAACGACGACAATATCAGCTTAGGCAAGCGACATTTTTGACTTTTTGTCAACAATGACGTCAGATTGCCGAGGGAGGGGAGGAGGTTGGATTAAAAACTGTGCCAATTTGTGGTAATCTTAAACACATATGACAAAACATAAGGTTTTTAAAGCAAAGGTGAAACGGCGTAGCCTGCGTAGCAGGCGCTATTTAGGGGGAGGGCGAGGGTGGGAGAAGCTAGAGGAGGAATGCGAAGGGGAGAGAAAGAGAGCGAGGAAAAATGGAAGGGGCAAGAAAGAAATAGCTTTCTCGCCCCTCCCATTTTTCCTCGCTCTCTTTCTCTCGTCTTCGCATCTCCCCCCCTAACTTTTCCCACCCTCGCCCTCCCCCATTGTAACATGCTTGATGGCACTATCATACTAAACAACAAGGTTGTTCTGACAAGTTTGGTACAGCCATTATATAACAAGAATGTTACAAGGTTGACGACACAAGGTTGTAACAATATTGTTATATATCATAACAAGTCTGATATAATATCAACAAGGTTGTTACAACTGTTATAACAGCTTGTTCCAAACTTGCATTTTGACAATTTGGGACAAGCAATGCGAACACAACTTGTTGACGCCTTGCAAGATCTGAGATTGTACATGTATTCCTTCCTTCCTGCAACGGGGCAGTTGAGACTAAGTGCTCTGCATGAAAATAATCTGTTTGTACAATTGATTTCGTCTTATGTCAGTATGCGAGAAGAACGATTCTAAACAGCCAGACAGCAGTCGAGTTTAGCGTACCTTAGACTATGCTTACATGAGAGGCCAACGCCATGCAACCAAATTCGCATGTGTTTCCCTGTTGCGATCATGTAAGCGCATGTACTGAACGAATTGGAGTATAGCTTTAACCGTACGACTTTTTAGTTCGTTAATAACACAATCGAAAAAGGTAATATGAAGTAATATGTAAATCGGCTTATAACATTTCTTGTAGGACCTTCCCGGTGCGAATTGATTTCGTTGGCTGGAGATCTACTTCACAGAGAAAACCAGAAGAAAGAAACTAGCAAACATGCATCCAGCTTGGGTGATAGTACTTTTTATTCACTTTAAAAGTTACAGCATATGTAAAGTGGTTCATTGATTTCGTTACATAACTGAATGCCTTTAAAATTCATTATGAAAACTCATTCAGTTATCAAGAAAATTCAGACGAAATGAGTTTATAAATGTCTTCAACAGTTTCCTCAAGCCCCCCCCCCCCTTGTGTATAAGCCAACAGTAATCACTAACGCTCAAGCCCCCCATCCCCCCGAATATAAGCCCCTCTCCCCAGAAAGCCCATGGGCTTATTAGTTAGACAGGTATTTCTGGCATTTATTTACGCAACGACTGGAATTCCAACTATAATTACATTCCAGTATTATAATATGTTCACCGACTTGTTTTATTATGTGTTCAGATATACTTTATGTTTATATTTATTTTCGTTCACGATATGGTTTACAAAAAACTAGTTTCATATTAATCTGACACTGCAATCGAGCAACGAAAAATTTGTTGGCTCGAGTGGGATTTGAACTCGTATCTTCGTGTATCTAGACCGCCGCTCTAACCTATTGAGCTATCGAGTCAACAGGGATTGGTAGCGAGTCTTATCCAATTTAAGTGCACGAACGAATTTTTCAACAACGAATTTTTCGTTGCTCGATTGCAGTGTCAGATTAATATGAAACTAGTTTTTCGTATCTCTGAGGATGGTTCTGAAATAGAATTGAAACACTGCGCGTCCTCTAAGACAAGCGTTAAGTCGTCACGAAATATTTCGTGCACTTAAATTGGATAAGACTCGCTACCAATTCCTGTTGACTCGATAGCTCAATAGGTAGAGCGGCGGTCTAGATACCCGAAGATGCGAGTTCAAATCCCGCTCGAGCCAACGAGTTTTTCGTTGCTCGATTGCATTGTCGGATTAATATGAAACTAGTTTTTCGTATCTCTGAGGATGGTTCTGAAATAGAATATGGTTTACAGGTATACAATAAATATTACTAACATCAATTGTCAACCGTATAGCCTCCCCCCCTCAAGCCTCAAGGTAATTTCGGAGGTTTACGCCTTTACGGTATTGTTTTTTCATCGTTTTGAAAACTACCATCCAGTAATAAAATACAGAAACTACAGAACCGAGCAGTAAGAGTCATTACGAGGTCGCACTATGATGCAAGCGCTAGTTTTCTTTTGAATAATTTGCACCTAGACAATCTTTGTTTACGACGCAAAAAGATTAAGGCTGGAATTATGTTTAAAATACTCAATGGTGATGCACCATATTACCTACAAAATCTCTTCTCTGTTCACGGCAGTGGGTACAACTTAAGAAACTCTGAAATAAAGCTAAATTTGTCCAAGCCACGAACTATTTAAAACGAAGCCTTTGTGGAGCCTTATTATGGAATAATCTGCCTCAAAATATACGAATGCTTCGTTCGTTACCATTATTTAAGAATTCCTTAAATTATTACTATAATTTGTAAAATGACTCCCACACAGCAATCTTGGAAATCAGTTGTAATTATTTTTTCTAACTAATTAATGTACTGAAGATTTTACCGTGTTAAAATAAACTCAGGGATGCCGGAAGTTGCTGAGGGCAAGGGGTGCAATTGGTTAACAAGAGGGCATACTCCTTAATAAAAAACACCAATGAAAATGAAAGGGCTTCATGATCCTACATTCGTGTCAACCTCCCTCCCTGTCATCAAATGTTTTCGGACCGCGGAATACAATTATTTAGGCACAATTCCTCCGTAATTTCTCGCCAAAAATTCCATAAGTAATGCTTTCCGTTTCACCTTTCGCCAAATGGATAACAATTTTGCCGAATTCCTCACGACTGGGGGGTGGAACACCTCCACACAGATCCTCGAACGACGTTTAATTCTGTCTGTTTTAAAAGTTTTGTGCACCCGTTACACCCATAGTCTGCACCCGCACTGCACCCACAAAGTTGAAAATGCAAAAGGCAAGGGGTGCACTTGCACCCGCTGCACCCGTGGTTCCGGCACCCTGAATAAAGTTTTATTGTATTGTATTGTATTGTATTGTATTGTATTGTATTGTATTGTATTGTATTGTATTGTATTGTATTGTATTGTATTGTATTGTATTGTATTGTATTGTATTGTATTGGACTTATTTGTGACGTTGTGCCAAATGTCTAGTTCAAATAGAAAATACTGAGTATTTTTTTTCTACAGCTGCAGTGGAAGAACCCGTGAATATACAAAATAAAAATGGCTACACATTGAGAGTTAGCAATCGAACAGGAGCTCGAAAGGAATTGTTGAAAAACAAACACTCGGTTACACTTACATTCCAGGATCCAGAAGAGTTCTTAAGATTACTTGACAAGAGTGCTTTTCAGTGTGTAAGGGACGCAAAGCTGATCCACCCAATGTTTCTTGTTGAAACGAAAGAAAGTGAAACAAATCCTGGTCCCAATGGTTTACAACTGCAGTTAACCATCAACAAAAAGAATAATTCCACTCTAAAGTATGTTATTCTTCAGCAAGACATGTCCACCATGGAATGGATTGATATCACAGACATGTGCACAACTCGAAATGGTATTTCATTAGTTCAGAACTGATCATTCTAAGACTTCTCAAAAGTGTTCAGTCTTGGCCATGCATACAGCATCCTTTACCGTGATTGAGATATTGGATTAGGAACCGGTCATTAAAAGAAATGTTTTCATGCATTGGCAAAAATCTTGCTGATCAAACCATTAAAAAGTCAAAATTATTTTTACCCAACCTCAAATATCAATTCCCACGCCTGGCCAATACTGAACGTTACAAAGTTGTCACCTTGTCACTATTCTTTACCACTTCTGTGACATGAGTTTGACAACTGCTTGTGCGATTTTCTGTAGTCTGAAGTTTCATGTTGTCTACACATGTACTTTCTTTGGAGACACCATTTGCCTCCTGACAAATCGGAAAATGATCAAGATAGTGACTCTGACTGATTTACATATCGTATTGACATATGACTGTTGAAATTGCTTTTTAGTTTTCAATATTTCACGTAGCCTGCCCGATAATCTAGTCCCGTTATGCAAATTCAAAATTATTTGGGTCACAATACAAAGTGTTTTGTTTTTCATTTACCTAACCTTTTACCCGCTCAAAATATTGTTTGCCCAAGATATCTTGTAAACGAAGAAAGATATGAGTTACCCGTCACCGTATTCTACAAAGTCAAAGAGTTAAATGAAACATTATTGGTGATCCTTTAATGGCTTTATAATTTTCTTTTTCAACAGGTGTTTGTCCTGAAATCAGCATACCAGTTCAGAAATCAGCAAAAATCTGGGCGCTTCATTTAAAGCGTTCCCTATGCAATCGCATTCCATCATTGCTGTCGCTACTGAATGGCCAGATTACAGTCCACATCAAGCTGTATTACCAAGTCCTGAACAAGGAAATCAAAGTGCGAATTATCGGATTAAGCGACGACCCCAATCAGACTCGCAAGAGATTAAAAACGGCTGTCACGGCTGCAGAGGAAGACGGGTTTATAAGAGGAGATGAAAGTGCCCCTATGTTGTTATCGCGGAAAGAAGGTAGCCTCAACGTTGAATTTTACAAAGATGGCAACTCTTTCAAATCGAGTGAGTTTGATATCGGGGAAAACGACCGGCTGTACACGTACGGAGAGTGGCATGAATATACTTTCGATGTCAAAGACTTGAAGGACAATCTGGATGTCAAGGTCATTGATAAGAACAACTATGTCCACTGGTCAATTCATTTAAATGAAATACTCCGTGTAAGTGTCCAAGTTATTTTTAAAACTTTACTCTAAGCCTCTTGCACTTATTCAACCGTGGCCGAAAATTTGCTTAAACTATGAAAGACAAAGTACGCACGCAAAATTAAAATCTCACATTTTGTAGCAAGTCTGCAAACAATCCGTCAACAAATTGTGTTCGCACTGCTTGTCCCAAGTTGTCAACAAATATGGAACAACTTGTTAACAATTTGTAACAACCTTGTTGATATATTTTTTTCTGTGTTGGTGTAGTGTACTCAGGTGAATATGATATTTGTGGTGTTACTCTGAGTGTATATCCACACCGGGCGAGCTTGAAAAATATGCCCGGCCACGGTGGGATTCGAACCTACGACCTTTGGGCTAGTATTCCAAAGGTCGTAGGTTCGAATCCCACCGTGGCCGGGCATATTTTTCAAGGTCGCCCGGGGTGGATATACACTCAGAGTAACACCACAAATATCATAACCTTGTTGTATAAGATTGTTCCAACAAGCCCGATACAGTCATGATATAACAATATTGTTACAACCTTGTGTCGTCAACTTTGCAACATTCTTGTTATATCATGACTGTATCAGACTTGTTAGAACAACCTTGTAATAAGTCTGATAATGCCATCAAGCTTGTTACAAGTTGTTTACAGCTTGTTCCAAACTTGTTACAACAACTGGGAACAAGCGACCATATCTTGTTGACAAGTTGTCGGAGATTAATTCACATGTGTTTGCCGTTCAGGATTGCTTCTCGTTCAACAGTAAATCGTTCATGTAATTTCCAAAGCGGAAAAACAACAACTTTTTTCATTGTAGCTGGAACAAGATGGTATTGAATTACAACCCGTTGATGATTCAGAACAACATGTACAGATCCCATGGGTTGGGCCATATCTGAACATTCAATATGAAAAGGCAGCGGATTGCGAATGGAAATTGGAATTGAAGCGATTAAAATCATCGATAGACGCAGAAAATACCAACAATTCATTCAATTGCAGTACTGCGCTCTAAGATACGATATATTAATTGAGACATGTGTATATATAATCGGGATATTCAGACGATTTAAACAGAAATTGTTGTAAAAATACGCTGTATATAATTGTAATCGTTCCCTATACTCCAATATAGAGTATTTCTAAACGGGGCATGTATATATATATAAATATTCATACTAAAAGTAATTAAGCCAGTTTTTATTGGGCTCTTGCATTGGTGACGTAAAAGGCCGGTTCTTGTCAAAGCAACTCTGTGGCATTGTCTGTGCAGGGCTGTACGTTGCTTTTGTAACACTTTGAAGAATTATAATACTTGAATATAAAAATTTTTGCCACGCAAAATGGCGGATTATTTTGCCTCGTCATACTGCAAGACCCAAACACAGAGTATTTACATACAGATGTCTCACTTCTGCGGGAAAACCGTAAGGTAGTTTTTACCAAAATAGCTGGCGGCCCATATTCTTAGCAAGTACCGTAAAGAGAGGCATTTACCCCCCCCCCAGGAACATTCAATTTCAATATGTTTTCAGGGGGGGTGACAGCCTCTCTTAGCCATATCAGCTCAGTGAAAAAATCCCTTACGCTAAATTATCCTGAAGTGAGACCTCTGTTTGTTAGTACTCTGTGACCTGAATCTGCATGCCGGATTCGGTTTTCGATTTCGTACCGTAGTATAATTATGTAATATAGACAATACAAAGGCGAGTCGTTGTATACAATGGACATGAATACTGTACAAAGACATATAATTTGTTATTAGGCTTGATGAAAACAATTCATATTTAATAATCTAAAGACATGATTGGTGGGAAAATATTTGGTGCGAAAAATGAGCTTGCAATAAAATTTATGTAAATTTTGTATCAGAAATATATGCAAAATTCCTATAGTCACCGGCCATGACTTCGCTTATGCTTAATTAATTCAATGAGAATGTTACCACATGCTGTTTTTGATCCGAGAATAGAATTCTCAAAGTTCTAGAGTAACTTCTTTGATGCGAAATTCAGGCTGACTTGCGAAATATCTGACTATTGTAGAACTGCCCATGCGCAGACGATGCGCATGAATGACTTTGGCTCATAAATTTCGCAACCGGCAAGTCTCAACAGACAATACGTCACACGTGTATTTATAAAGTCGTTTTGTTGATAATATTTATACATAAATTTTCAAATTCTACAATTGATCAACTGAATTGACACTATACCACTGCATGTTGTGAACGTTAGCGTTAAGCAATAATAAAGCTTGAATCTAAAATTTGCGAATGGAAAAAGTCAATCGAAAAGCGCTCTTATAGTGATATAACATGGACTCCAGTTTCAAAGGTGATGCTATATTATATGCATTACTATATATAAGCACCAAAAATCGTTTCGCGTTTGACCTTAATTCTCACTAAATAGTAAGCAACAACAATGAGTTCGTGAGTTGGCCGTTTAGATTTGGCGATGTCTGATTAGAAACACTTGGTAACGTCGCATATGGACTTATGGATTTAAAAATCGTTTCGACCGACCGTATCTAGCAAACGTCGTGTATTTCGATCGCGGTCACGACCACACAATGATTGTTTTATCTAAACTCTAAAAATCAGTTTTGGCCGACTTAGAATTTAGCAAGCGTCATATATTTCGCGCCTGCACGCGCGAAATTTCTGACCCGTCACGCTTGGTCTGGTATTTCGCAGAGGTCAGGAATTTCACTTGACGCCACAGATTTTCATTGCCATTCTTTGTTTTCGAGATAATTGTATTGAGATATAGATAATGCAATGCTAAAGCCCAAAGCCAATGCAACCTTAACAGATAGCCTTCAACCTATATTACTTAGTTACTTACAAATTTATTTAGCCACGCTGGCCATACACAACATACTATAAAATACAATCTGTTTATTTTCAGATGGGGCGTGTTATATTTATATTACAAACTATTTTAACTCACATTAGTCTCTGGTATAGTAGACATACTATAAAGGGAAGATGCCTTTTTCGCCTCAGAAGGAAAACTATTCCACATCATTGCACCACTATACTTAAAACTTCGTTTAAAATAGTTTGTTTGGAAGTGCTAGATCAGTATCATTACTTCGAAGATTATATTCTCTATTAAGATCTTTAATTTTTATAAATTTTTCTTCAAGATTTGGAGCGGACTGCTCATTAAGAATTTTGTACATCAAAATGCTCTTCAGCCTATGACGTCTTACATCGAGCGTGGACCATTGCAGATCCTCCAGTACATTTGCCGAGTTGACATAAAATCTTGCTCCTGTTATAACTCGCGCCGCTCTATTTTGGGGCACCTGTAATTTATCTTTATAGACCTTACCGCATCATCCCACAAAGGGGAACAATAATTAAAATATGGCTGAATCAGCGCTTTGTATAACATCTTTAAAGAACGCACTGAACAAAGGGTTTAATTCTTCTTAAGGTACCAATTCCCGAACACATCTTTTTGCACAAATTCTCAATGTGAATAATTATCAAATATCAACCTATTGTCAAGGTCAACCCCCTATTGAAAGTCATGCAATGAATAATGATCGTGGATGGCTTTATTTCTTTGCTTTGGAAGCTGATCATTACATCCGATTGGACTTTCCAAAGTCCTTCGCAGTTGGTTCCAAAGTCCACACATTCCTTTAACAATTCCTTTCATCATCCTTCACTGCCTCCTTCACAAGCGTGTGACGTCAAAGCTGATTCGTCCCCAGTCGTCTCTGCGCGCACTTCCCAATTCGCCACGCATTGCCACGCATCGCTCGCGCGTGCTCACAAAGACGACTGGGGACGAGTCAACGTGATAGTAGTAAACTTATTACTGTAAAGGCAGATTTCCACTGTTGCGTTTTTCATATGTACGTATACGCACGTAAAACTTTAAATCCGTTTAAATGTTACTTATGAAATAACCAAATAAATAAAGCAACAGAATTTAGTGTTCCACAAGTTTTAGTATGCATTTGTTAACTTATTTGTAAAATATTTAAAAAATAGAAGGATTCAAAGTTTTACGTGCGTGTACGTGCGTACGAAAAGCGAAACAGTGGAAATCAGCCTTAAGCACGAAAATTGGTTATAACTATTTTTGGCAACATTTTGCATCAGCAGCGCTCGTGTAAAGACTGGCAAAAAACTTTTAAAATCTTACGTTTTGTCATATGTGTTGAAGATTACTACAAACTAATACAAACACAGTTTTTAATCCAGAGCCTCAGCATCTGACGTTCGCGGTTGACAAAAACCACAAAATTCAAAAACGTAGCTCGCTAACGTAATGCCTAATATGATGGCGTCGCTTCAAACGAAATATACAGGTGCATAAAAAAATTATATATATATATATATATATATATATATATATATATATATATATATATATATATATATATATATATATATATATATATATATATATATATATATATATA